ATAAAGTGGACAACTTATAAGAAATGGACAAGTTTCTAGAAACATACAGTCTACCAAAACTGAATCAAGAAGAAACAGATCATTTGAACAGACCTACCACTAAAGTGAAATAGAATCCACAATATAAAACCTATAAAACCTCCCTGCAAACAAAAGTCCAGGACCAGATGGCTTCACTGGGGAATTCTATCAAGCATACAAAGAAGAACTCATACCGGTCCTTCTCAAACTCTTCCAAAAATTGAAAAGTAGGGAATACTCCCAAATTCATTCTATGAAGTCACCATCATTCTGATACCAAGGCCAGACAAAAACACTACCAAAAAAGAAAGCTATAGGCCAACATTGTTGACGAACACAGATACAAAAATCCTCAACAAAATATTAGCAAATAGAATCCAACAGCACGTAAAAAAGATCATACACCTACACCATGATCAAGTTGCATTCATACCAGGGACACAAAGATAGTTCAACATGGGCAAATCAATCAACGTGATACACCACATCAACAAGAGAAAAGATAAAAATTACATGATCATCTCAATAGATGCAGAAAAAGCATTTGATAAAATTCAACACCAATTTATGATAAAAACTCTTACCAAAGTGGGTATAGAGGGAACATAACTCAACGTGATAAAAGCTGCTTATGACAAACCTACAGCCAGCATAATACCCAACAGAGAAAAGCTGAAAGACTTTCCACTAAAATCTGAAGTACAATGTTTTAATTTTACGTATTTTCACATCAGTGTGTAAAAGTGCTCTAGTCTACATAATGTTCAACTCAATAATGTCAACTTTAATTTATACCAAAGGACTTCAGAAGCCTCTGGAAAGGGGATGTGCCTTAAAATGCTGTTATAAGTATTAAGGATAGAAGAAGAGAGAAAGGAATTAAATTAGAGTCCAGAATATCAAGCTTTTTAAAATTGTATTCCAAAAACCCAAAGCCCCAAGGAAATCTCTTGATTTATAAGCACTCAAATTAATATATAAACCTGGGTTCTATATAACAGCTGAAGCTTGCTATTATCATTCCTAAGTATTATCAACCAGGAGGATAAAAACCAGTCTAAGCATATAAACTCCAAGATTGCATCTCCAGATGTAGTGAAACTGAAAGTCTCTCGATTCTTGGGTTAATATGGCTTTGTCATCCATTTACTTCCTACTGATTCATCAAACCCCACCACCACCTCATCTATCACAGCCTCCTCTCATCTTTTCCAACCAAAGCTATTTTTAACATTAGTCTTTTTGACATTAGGAAAATGGAGGGATGCTTATGCTCCAACCTAAAATATAGCCCAAGGAATAGTTGAAGCATAAACACTTGCTCTTTAAAAGACATAAAACAAACAAACAAACAAATGGAAAAGGAAAGGGAAGGGAAGGGAAACAGCTAAGCTCACACCTAGGAGAGAAAGTACAAGAACCCCTAAAATGAGAGGTAAAAGAATAGAGCAAAGTACTCCAGGGATCTGTCTAGCCCAGGGAAAGAAATCTCTCAAAATGATGTCTAAAATGTCATAGAATGGGACAGAAAAAATCTAATGAAAGAGTCCAAGACAGTAATTATAGTCAGTTCACTGTACATCCATAATTCATAGTTAAGGTAACATTGATATTTTATGTTTGTTTAAAGAAATAGGTGGAAAATGAAATATGTTAGAAGAAAATCTAAATAATGCACATAGCAAAGAGCAATCTGTCAGCCTTTGGTACCCAGGAAGCCTAGTACTTAATGCCTTTCTGAATTTTAGAAGTGCAGTAAGACACATCAATTTTAATTGCCTATAATCTGAGACCAAAACTTTTGGCATGCTTCCTTGTTCATAGCAATAACAGCACCAACAAGTATTTATTGAGTATTTCCACGGGTCAGATACTGCTGTGAGAACTGCAGAGGATATAAGCATTGAAGGTGACAGACAAGGCCCTGTCCTTATGAAGCTTACGTTCTGTCACAAAGAGAAATGATAAATATGTTTGGACCAGGAAACAAAGCATGACTAATTCACTGGTACAAAGAATCCTGCCTTACAAGGCAGAAACTTTCTAGCTGAACTGCAATTTTACAGAGACCTAAATTTTCTCCAGTAGGAGAAAATGGACTAGTGTGTGTTTATAGATCTGGGGGGATGCAGGGGGTTTATAGATTTGGGGGGATGCGGGGGGAGGGCTTTATATGGAATAGGATAGGAGATAAAAGACAAATCCCACCAAGTCAGAGAAAAGCTAATGTTCTGACTCTTTGAACCTTGCCCATACAGGAAACACAACCATTCCTCTGTGACTTTGGTACAGTACTTGGTTAATACAAATTTCTCAGAAGCTTTGCTACATTTGGGAGCAAATGGGAATTAGAGTTTGTCTTTTCTCTTCTCTGCCATGCCCCCATCATTCACTATATAGTCTTGTAATCCTCTCTCTGTTTTCCCTTTTTCTATTTTGAGTTATTTTAAATTCTTCAAAAAAATCAATGTTTTAACCTACTAAATGCATGTAGTATAAAACCAAATAGAGTTTAATTTCCTTTACTTTATCCCTCTTATCTTATCCCTGAAAGTCCCTTTCTCTCTTTTTCATCACTTTTTGGTCTCTGACTTTCATTCTACTCAACCATCCTTTTTCTGACCACTTCCTTCCAATCCCTCTTCTATCTTTTCCAGGTAGAAAAAAATGATCACTAGACATAGAGAAAGGCAGAGCCATGTAAAGCAAAGGGTTGACAGTATACTATGTGTGCAAGCAAGTCCATTTCAGAAGGATCTGTTCTTTCAAGTTTAAAGAATTGCCTTGTGTGAATAAGGTTTACTAGAACTTGCTTTCTGTTACATGTACTATATTTAACACTTAGAAGATTATAAAAATAAAGTTTATACATTTTCTTAGCTGTCTGAAGACATTCTTTCAAAAATTATTCTGTGTATATTTTGAACAATTTCCACTGAGAGAAAGAGAAGGAGAGAGAATTGGCCCTGTCTTCTGCCTCTCATCAGAGGCCTATTTTCAGAAGTCTCTTTAAGGCCCAGGTCTGGCCTCTCCTAAAAATGCTTTCATATTACATGCCTAGAACTCTTTACTTTACTATCCCCTAGTCTTTCTCCCTATAGGCATATTGGGAAAATCTCAGGTTTGGAGTCAGACTAAATTTGTATTTGAAGCTCAGCTTCATGTCTTACTATCCCAGGGACCTTAGGCAAGTTACTTAACTCCCTTAACAGTTTCTCATCTGTAAAATGGTGCTCATAAAATCAACCTAGTTATATTATTATAAGCATTTAATGATCTAATTCCTAAATGTGCTAATCACACTATGTGGCATATAGTTGTCATTTAATAAATAGTACATAAGATTTATATAAGCACACACATATGTATACATATACATACACCCACATGCCCATCTTTTCCTCTCATACACTTGCAATTTACCTATCTGCCCTCAATGCCATTCTCCCAGAATTCTGCCCTTCTGCCCTTGAAGTGTTCACATTTTTCCAAATTCACAATTAGCTAATGTAAGACTCTAATCACTGAGAATGTGCTAATGAGAAAGGATAAGAGAAGAGGACAGTGACTACTGCCTGCCAACTTAAATAGCCCTCAGTGGTAAAATATAGCTCTTGGAAACAAAACTGGACTAAACACTACATAGGCCAGAGCAGTGACTCACAGTGTGAATTTTAAGCAGCATCATTTGAGAGCTTACTGTAATAGTTCTCAGTAACTGTGACTACTTTCTGTTACATGTACTCATACCTAGGCCATCACTAACATAAAAAGTAAGTAAATAAAACAAATGGATATTGTATCCTTTGTCATATAAATTAAAGCATGATACTGTATTAGCCCCAGAACATTGTACAAAACAAATACAACTCCTAGGAAAATAAGATCATGTCTGTGATGAAGCAAAGCCTAGAACATAATTCTCTTCTCAAGTCAATATTTCTAGACTATACCATGTTGACTTAATGAGGTATATAACTAAATATAGGAAGTACTGCTTTGAAAACCCCCTTAGAAAATATCCAAAATTTGTGAATTAGGCAATGGTAAGAGAGTTACACCCTTTGTCGCACTAACAGGAAAGACTCTTAAGTAATGGACTCGGTGCCTGGCCATGCGAGTCAGCCATTTAGTCATTCTTCTAGACGCTATCCATCATTGAGCACATTCCTGAATTTCATGCAACCTAATTTAAACGTCTAACTGGTTGTTCTGATCGGAATAAACATTCGACCAAAGTAAAAGCTTGACGATCCTGACACCTAGTGGCTGTAAAGAACCTGGAGAAGATCCAGTTTGGGAAAAGGAGATAGCTAGGGTGGCAGGATCTTGCACACAGAATTTAATGATTATTAATAATATAAAATGCTAATTCTAAAAGCAACTCTATAAAAGTCTATTCGGGCTCTGGATTTATCTTGTCTTCTATACAAAGAGGCTAAAAGACTTGTATTTGTGAAGCATGTTTTTCTTCAGTCTTACACGTTCAGCAAATTTTTACTAATCTTCAGAGATCAAAGAAAACTAAAGCGAAACTGAAAAAAAAACTACTTTTATGACTCTCTTTCTTAATTCTGCATGTTCATCCACATCATTTTCTTATTCTAGAGGTGATTTTTCTCCACAAGTATCCCTCTGTCAAAATAACAGCCAACTGACCAAGCCACATAGAGGTTCCCTTTATGCCACTGAGGCTTCCTTAGTCAAAAGGTAGTTAGACCTTCACAAACCAGCCAGGGTTTTCTTTAAGAGAGGTATAAGGACACACACCCCTAAAATGCACATCTAAAACTAAGGACTACATTGAATGCTGCAGGAAGCCATATGAACACAGCAGGTCAGCACCACACAGCACAACTTACTTCTGCCCTAAATATTAGAAGATAAGCTTCCCCAGATCTACCTGAACCTCTGACAGGCAGGAAGGTGAGAAGAATAAAGTGATGATATCCTCCACCAAGGAGAGCTCTGAATCCTACCTGCTGACGTTTGAAGGCTAAATAATCCAGATTTTCCAGCTCCTTTCCAAGCTTCTGATAGGTTTTTTGGAGATCAGATTTGTTGGAAACATTTTTGAGAGACTCAAATGCCTTTTGAAACTGAAATTAAAGCAAAAGTAAATCATTAGGAGCAGCATATTTTTCTAAAATTCCTAATGAACTAACACAGAGAAATAGTCAATACTGAGCCTCAGTTTCTCCCATTCATAATACAGAGATAACAAAGGCTTGCTAATTGCCTTTCAATTAAATAATTAAGCACCATTATAAAGCATTAGAAACTAACTGTATGCTAAGTACAACCATCATTATTGCATGAATGAGAAGCCTGTTTAGTTCGCATTCCAACAAAAGAGCATACTCCATTAAAAAAAATTTTTTAACTCTTCATGTTTTAGTATACGCTGCTACTTTTAAAGAAAAAAAATTGCAACGAATGTATAATTTCAAATCATAATGAGAAAGTATTAAAGAAGCTCTCACATTCCAATCATGGAAACAAATTTGTCTATGCAAAGGTAGCCACTTGCCTCTGTAGATATATCTATGCAGAGTAGGCACCCAGCAAACTTCAGCCAGGAAGATCTCTCAGATCTTACATTTTGAGAAGAAAGGAAAACTAACATTTTGATGACTGAAGCACATGTAGCATGTTCAGCAAACATTTATTCATTTCTACTCTATAACAGAGATGAGTTATGAAATCAGTTCTGCTGAATCAGAATGCCTCTCTTCATTTTTCAGTCAGATACTAGATAAACACAAAGGAGACAAATTGCAGCGTATCACAGAATATTGTTCTGCTACTAATAATTAATTAAGCAAACGAAGCTCACAAGAAATTGAATTCTTGGTTTATTTTAGTAAATTAGAACATACTTTAGAGGATTAGTGATTGAAAATGTCAAGTGATATCATTTGCAAGACATTTGCATTTGCTCTCTCTTTATGTCATTTATTTCCCATGTTCTCAGTGTGCGCCATTAGACAGAGTTCTACAGATGGAGATTTCACCATCCTAAACACACCAGCATTCCACCATGATTATGGTGTTATGAGACAGGGTAATAAGATTTTACAGAATATAATTAAGTTTCCAGGGAAATGATTTGACCCTTCATATTTCAAACTCCATGGAATAAGTCATATAATAATGGCATTCTACAGAATTAAATCCTCAGTTTCACAAAAGCAACATGTTTATCTCAATTCAAGGTGACAGAAGAAACAGAAATAGGAAATAATATTGTGACAATTTTACAGCAGGACAATAAAATTAAGTTCAACAAATAATCTTTTAGAGCCTACTATGCACAAGGCGCTATGAATATAAAATATATTTTCTGCCCTAAAGGAACTTACAGACCACCAAGGAAACTAGACAAGAAACTCAGAAATGGAAATGATACTGACATTTACTGGGTGCCTTCTCAGTGCCAGGTACTTTATTCTTTCCAATTTAATCCTCACAAGAACCACAGAAGTTTCTATTTCTCTTCCCACCTACAAGTAACTGGGACTCAAAGTCTGAACTGGTTTTTTTTCCAATAATACATAATTTTAATTCTTAAAAACAGTATAGTCCTTAATTTTTCTTTCACCTGGACCTTTCTCTAAGCCTGGCTTTGCCCAGGTTCTTCTAGGAATCACAAAACCTTATGTTATGCCAAATGACTTTTTTCCAGTTTTATTGAGATATAATTGACATATCTTAGCATTGTAAAAGTTAAGGTGTGCAGCATAATGATTTGACTTACATACAGCATGAAATGATTATCAGAATAAGTTTAGTGAACATCCATCATCTGGTATATATACAAAATTAAAGAAATATTTTAAAAATATTTTTCCTTGTGATATGAACTCTTAGGATTTACTCTCTTAACTTTCCTGTATGACATATTATCATGTTAAACATATTTATCAGGTTGACATCACATTCCCAGTACTTATTTATCCTATAACAAGGAGTTTGTATCTTTTGATTACCTTTTTACCATTCCTCCTCCCACCACCTCTCTCCCGCCTCTGGTAACCACAAATCTGATCTCTTTTTCTATGTGTGTGTGTTTGTTCGTTTGTTTTTAAAGTATAATTGACCTACAATATTATGTTAGTTCCTGGTACACAACATAGTGATTTGTTATTTCAGTACATTTCAAAATGGAACTGGGTATTTACTATATTGTCTGTGCTCTTTCTACTCAATCATTAACTTTAACACAAAGCAAAGTAGTAAATAAAGTAAAGTAAAGTAAGGTAAGGTAAAGTAAAGTAAAGTAAAAAAGGAAGGAAGGAAGGGAGAAAGGAAGAAAGAAAGAAAAGTAACATGTGGTGAAACTGAAAAAAAACACTGATACTAACTGAGTGACCCAGGCCATATAGAAGACATGAGGGAATTTGAGTTGGACCTCAAAGGACTTTTCAGAGCCTTTGGTAAATGGGAACTAATTCTACCCATCAGTTTAAACATAGCCAAAATCTGTTCATTTTCCCACTATGGTAAAATCAAACTAATACCTTTATTCAACACAATTTTGGAAGTCCTAGTCACAGCAATCAGAGAAGAAAAAAAATAAAAGGACTCCAAATTGGAAAGGAAGAACTAAAACTGTCACTGTCTGCAAATGACATGATACTATACATAGAAAATCCTCAAGACACCACCAGAAAACTACCAGAGTTCATCAATCAATTGACTAAAACTGCAGGATAGAAAATTAATATACAGAAATCTGCTATGTTTCTATATTCTAACAATAAAATATCAGAAAGAGAAATTAAGGGAACAATCCATTTACCATTGCATCAAAAAGAATAAAATACCTAAGAATAAACCTACACTAGGAGGCAAAAGACTTGTATTCTGAAAAGTATAAGATGCTGATGAAAGAAACCGAAGACAACACAAACAGATGGAAAGATATACCATAATGTATTCTTGGATTAGAAGAATCGATACTGTTAAAATGAGCATACCATCCAGGACAATCTACAGATTGCATGTAATCCATATCAAAATACCCATGGCATTTTTAACAGAACTGAAACAAAAATTGTTTTTAATTTGTATGGAAACAGAAAAGACCCCAAATAGCCAGAACAATCTTGAGAAAGAAGAATGGAACTGGAAGATACACTCTTAGACTATACTACAAAGCTACAGTAGTCAAAACTGTACAGTACTGGCACAAAAACAGACACATAGATCAATGGAACAGAATAGGAAGTACAGAAATAATCCCACACACTTGTGGTCAATTAATTCACAACAAAGGAGATAAGAATATACAATGGAGAAAAGATAGTCTCTTCAATAAGTAGTGCTGGGAAAACTGGACAGCTACATGTAGAAAGATAAAATTAGAACATTGTCTAACACCATGAACAAAAATAAACCCAAATGGATTAAAGACCTAAATGTAAGACCGGATACTATAAAACTCCTAGAGGAAACACACACAGAACACTCTCTGACATAAATGAAATAAATATTTTTTTGGTTCCATCTCTTACAGTAGTGGAAATAAAAGCAAAAATAAACAAATAGGACTTGATTAAACTTAAAAGTCTTTGTACAACAAAGGAAATCATAAACAAAATGAAAAGACAAACTATAGAATGGGAGAAAATATTTGCAAACAATGTGACCACCAAGGGATCAATTTCCAAAATGAACACACAGCTTATACAGCTCAATATCAAAAGCAAAATAAAACAAAACAAACAACCCAATCAAAAAAATTAGCAGAAGACATAAATAGACATCTCTCCAAAGAAGACATACAGATGGCCAACAGGCACATGAAAAGACACTCAATATCACTAATTATTACAGAAATGCAAATAAAAACTACAATAAGTTATCACCTCACACTGGTCAGAATGGCCATCATTAAAAAGTCCACAAATGATAAATGCTGGAGAGGGTGTAGAGAAAAGAGAACACTTCTACACTGCTGGTGAGAATGTAAATTGGTGCAGCCACTATGGAGAACAGTACGCAGGTTCCTTAAAACACTAAAACTAAAGTTATCATATGGTCCTGCAATCTGACTTCTGGGCATACATCCAAAGAAAATGAAAACAGTAATTCGAAAAGATACATGCCCCACAATGTTCATATCAGCACTATTTACAATAGCCAAAACATGGAAACAACTTAAATGCCCATCAACAGATGAATGGCTAAAGAAGATATGGTATATATATACAAAATGGAACACTACTCAGCCATAAAGAAGAATGAAATAATGCTATTTGCAGCCACATGAATGGACCTAGAGATGATCACATTAAATGAAATAAGTCAGTAGAGAAAGATAAATATATCACTTATATGCAGAATCTAAAAAAATGATACAAAGGAACTTATTTACAAAACCAGAAATAGACTCACAGACATAGAAAAACTTAAGGTTACCAAAGGTAAAAGTGGGACAGAGAGAGGGGAGGCATAAATTAGGAGTTTGGAATTAACAGATACACACTACTATATATAAAATAGATAAATAACAAGGACCTACTGTATAGCACAGGAAATTATAGTCAATGTCTTGTAATAACCTATAATGGAAAAGAATCTGAAAAGTAGCATATATATATCTGTGTATAACTGAATCACATTGCTGTATACTTTAAAACTGTAAATCAACTATACTTCAATAAAAAATAAAAATTAAAAAAATTTTAAATCAAACTAATATTAGATCTAAGATTCTAAACAATTTCAGTAATTTTATCCATAAATTAATTAATATGAACTATTTTCCCAATCTGTTTAATTCTAAAGCATACTTTATCCCCTACATCTTCTCTTCCCTAAGAAATACTAGCTCTACTTCTTAACTATTTTTTCTTCACATCTATCTATGAATTTTATACAACTCCAAATAGGAACTTTAGGGTAAACACATTTATAAGCCTTCAAAATAAGAAACATGAAAACCAATACATCCCAGTAACATGTTCATGGCCAAAGAAAAAAGGGAGAAAATCCAGTAATGATACATCACCACCAAATGCTTTCATTAAAGGTCAGAGTTTGCATAATGTGGACATTTTAGCTTGAACTTTCATTATCAGGGCCTATATCCTCC